GAGTGCTCTTTTGATTTTATGCCGGTGGTAGAATATTACTTGCATTTGAAATTATTTGATTTTTAACATTTTATTTATTTCCATTAAACTTGGTACAGGATCACATAGAGAAGGGCAATATTGACTTAAGCTTATTGAAGTTTCGGGTCCTTGATGAGGCTGACGAAATGCTGAGGATGGGTTTTGTTGAAGATGTTGAACTTATTCTTGGTATGTATCTGCATGTAGAAGACTTGGGGCATGTTATTTTGATCATGAGGCAATGTTTGGATTCATATCTTGAAGTTCAACTGTTGATTCTGTAACCCCTATTATGTTAATGTTTTCATGATCCGGAGAATTTCTAAAATCTTGTTTTGGGGATGTTAATAGATGTTGGTAGCTAAATATGCTTTGATGTTGCTAGTCAGATAAATATGCTGTCTCAAATTCCTAAAAACTTGTTGCTGGAATGTATTAGATTATGTTATAGATGCTTGTCACGAAACACTTTCTGATGTTGCTAGTCACTTAGCTCTGCTGTTCTTGCTTAACTGATGCTAGGTGTTAGGTTGTTGCTTTATTTACTACGGGTATTATATTTTGCAGGAAAAGTCAAGGATGTAAGCAAAGTTCAAACACTTCTATTCAGTGCCACCTTGCCAGATTGGGTGAAACATGTATGTTCCTTACTTTATGAACAAGAGATATAAAGTTTGTTGGGTTATCACTAATCTTTGCTTTACACTGCCAGCTCTCTTCTAAGTTTCTCAAGCCAACTAAGAAAACTATTGATCTTGTTGGTAATGAGAAAATGAAAGCCAGCACCAATGTACGGCACATTGTACTTCCCTGTTCTTTTTCTGCCATACATCAGGTTATTCCTGATATCATCTGTTGTTATAGCAGGTAGGGTTTTCCTACAGTACTTCATTTATTGATGATTGATTATTATTATTTTTTTTTTGGAAAATATTTTTCACTCATTTTTACCTTTGTTATGATTTTGATTCAGTGGAGGCCGTACAATTATTTTCACTGAGAAAAGAGAATCTGCAAATGAACTTGCTGGATTATTGCCTGGAGCGCGGGCTTTACATGGGGAAATACAGCAGTCTAAACGCGAGGTGAACTTTTTCATACAAGTGGCCCCTTGCATCATCTTGATTGTTGTCTATGAGAACAATTAATGTCTCTATTGTAATTTTTGTTCCTAATTTTGTTTTTTTTGGAAGTTCTCTTTGGCCATGTTTTGTATTAAGTAATTTTTTTTTTTTTTTTTTTTTTTTTTTTTTTTTTTAGCTTAGGAATGTTTTCAAATATGATTTCAGAAAAGTCAATATTCTGTCTGTCTTCATACCTCACCTCCCCTTCAGTAGTCAAGGGATTTGCTTGCTTTCCAAGACTGCCAACTGTTGGCTTATAGTCTAGACTCTAGGCAGATTATATTTGGTGGTATACTGAAAGTCTTCTGGAAATAAAGCAACCTAATAAACATATTTTTGCTTTCACATAGTCAAGAGGATTTCTTTCAACCTTGTGTGAAGAAAGTCTATGCATCTTAAAAAAGAAACATGCTAACCTACTCTGTTAATCTCATTCTTTTTCTTTGCTAATTTCTTGTATATGATATCTGCAGGTGACCCTTTCTGGGTTCAGGTCAGGCAAGTTTCTGACCTTGGTGGCTACAAATGTGGCTGCAAGGGGATTGGATATCAATGATGTGCAGTTAATCATCCAGGTGTGCGTCTGTCTCTGTGTTTTCATGTTTGCTGGTGCGCATTATGCAATTTAAAATGTGTATATCAAATGTTCTTAGACCGTTTTTTTTTCCTTTTCCTTTCAGTGTGAACCTCCAAATGGTGTAGAAGCTTATATACATCGGTCTGGACGTACTGGACGAGCAGGTAATATGCAGATTTATGACTTCATCTTTTGAACTTCTGGGTTCGATGTTGATGCTTAGAGGTTTTACTATTTTATAGGCAATAGTGGTGTTGCTGTGATGCTCTATGATCCAAGAAGGTCAAATATATCTAAGATCCAAAGAGAATCTGGTGTGAAATTTGAGCATATAACTGCGCCTCGGGCTGAGGATATTGCCAAAGCAGTTGGTATGGAAGCTGCAGAAACAATAACTCAGGTTTCTGACAGGTATACTTAATACTGTGGTGTTGAAGAATACTTGGCTTGAACACTTTTAGCCTCAGATACTAACATATTGCAAATATTGCAGTGTAATTCCAGCATTCAAATCCGCAGCCGAGGATCTGTTGAATACCTCAGGTTTGTCAGTGGTAGAACTACTTGCAAAAGCACTTGCCAAGACGACTGTAAGTTCTTCTATTTATTTAGATTTTGATATTTTAACTCTTGACTTAGCGCTTTGAGATGAGATCATGCGAAAAATGCAGGGTTATACTGAGATCAAGAGTAGGTCAATACTAACTTCCATGGAGAACCATGTCACATTACTTCTTGAATCTGGCAAACCCATCTTCACTCCATCGTAAGTCCTAAAAGTTTTGTGCTCAAGCTCTTTGTTTTTTAAATTCATGCTGCAGAATGTAAGAGTATGAAATCATTGCCTTCATTTTGTTCAATAAAATGGAAATGGAATAGCCAAGAGATTTTGATAATCTTTTAGAAAGGCTGTGACCCAATGTGACATTGACATTGACTCATTGTCAGTGAGCAGGATCTCAACAGATCTTAATGCAGGTGTTGATGCCTATACTATTATCAGACTGTGTTTGCGTGTGACTGTAAAATAACTAATTGCTTCTGTAGGATGATGGTCCTATGATCTGGCATTTGTGGTCAAAAAGACCAAAAACTCTGAATGTGCAGCACGACAATTTGAAAATAAAGCTTATAAAATTGATATCTATACTGAAGGAATGTAGGTCTCAGAAGCTAACTTCCAATAACAGATCTACTGGCTGCTTGTATTACTCTAATTGTACACCCATCTTGGGTGGGATATTCATGGATTGGAGTTATAAAAGTGAAGGATTTCCTTTGCCATCTTTTCATTTCTATTTTTTCTTTATGGCTTCAGCTGACTAGTAATGAAAAGGTCTGCACTTGGTAAAGAGTGCAGAATATCTCTGTAGGAAGCACATAATAGGTTCCTGAAATTCAGTTAATTGGATTCCTTCTTATCTCAATCACTTGCCCTCTTGTGATGCAGTTATCGGAATGGTCAACTCATTTGTCTGTTTCGTGAATGTTCTCAGATTCGCTTTCAGTTTTTTGAGGAGAATCTTGCCTGAGGATAAGGTTGAGTCAGTGACGGGTATGAGTCTCACAACTGATGGAAATGGTGCAGTTTTTGATGTGAAGAAAGAAGATGTGGATACTTTTCTAGCTGGTAACATACTATTTTATAGGTTAATTTTATCATTTCTTTAGCTTGGCAAGTGATTGGTTTCTGATGGCCTGTTTTTTTCTTTGGCTTGCATTGACCTTGAGCTGTGATGTGTGTTCACTATTCTTTTCTTACTCTGCAATTGCAGCTCAGGAAAATGCTGCTGGTGTGAACATAGAGGTGGTAAAAACATTGCCTTCACTGCAAGAAAGAGACCGACAAAGGGGTAGATTTGGTGGCGGTGGTCGTGGTAGAGGTGGTTTTGGTGATAGGAGTGGTGGCAATAGGTTCTCAGGGGGCACAGGTGGCAGGGGTGGTGGATTCTCAGATAGAAGAAACAGCTCCGGTGGCTTTAAAGGGCGCAACAATGGGAACAAATGGTGAATGCTTTCAATTTGCCCCAGAAGTCCATGAACGTTGAGAGCAATCTTCACTGCTACAAGCTGAAGAATTTTCTGATAATGAAGAAAATTTGAAAATACAGCTGGCTTGCCTGGGGAATTTACAATCTAGGTTGGCTGGATATAGATTTTTTCCTGCAAGTGTATTATGTTAGGCTTGGCAATTTTTATTTTTCATTTAACGCCGTATTTGTTTTATTTTCTAGGGATTTTTCCCCTCATCCCCATGTTTGAATTTCAATGGAAATGTAAGGTCAGGTAGCAAGATCTAATATCATTTAATTATTGAACAGTGCAAATCTATGAAAATAGCTTTTTAGGTAGCCTTGAAGTCTTCCCCCCTTACATTTCGTGCATTAATCTTGTACATAATGTTCTTGATAATATGAGGCTATTGAGGTTCAGGTGAACATTATATTCTGTCAGCTAGACAGTGAATGCATTATTTCTTCTGATTTGGAGTAATGAATTAATTAGTTTTTTTTTTAAAAAAAGAAATTATAGAAAGGTTGATGAAAAAAATAATTTTTTTAAAAAAGTAAAATAATATTAAAATGACTAAATATTTAATTTTTAAAACAAGAAATACCGACTAATTTGTTTTCAAAAATAAAAGGTCTAATTTATAATCCAAACGGGAGAGCAAACCTATTTATTATCCTCCCGGATTCCGATGACTAATCTCATTATGAAAACAGAAGCGGCGAGCCTCAGAAATGACAGCAAAAAAGTCAAACTTTAATTATGCCCTAAAACTACTACTTGGTAGTCTAAATTTTAACCCGATATCAATTTTGTTCTCTAAATTTCAAAAATTCTCAATCAAGTCCTACATCTGTATGTGATCATGGGTTCCACATAAATTATACGATTTGACATATTTTTGTAGAGAACTAATGTTTTCTGTGAAGGAATTTTAATAGAAAGATCCAATTGAAAAATGAAAACTGGTTAGGGACAAAATTAATACAAATATTTGTTTGGGTGGCAAAACAAAATTGTAGTAACAATGGAGTCACATAATCGACCAGATCTACTTGTCGTTGCGAGCAACAAGCTCGACCGTTTTACCATCTCCACAGACCACAGTCCCAACGTTTATAAGACTCACGCAAACTTCCAGCGACTTCTACTACGGCCTAGTACCCAACCCAACGCGATAAAAAACATAAGACACACAGCTTTAAAAACAGAGGCTCGCTGTCTTTATGAATCTTTAGCCATAAAGTCTTGATCTTGATCAAGAAATCATGGGTTGCTACAGGAAAGCGAAGCTAGCTCTTGATGCCTTAAAAAGCTACACGTCAAAGATTGTGACAAGGCCTTCAGTTCAAGAATCAACAACTTTTTCGCGAATTTATCAAGATGGGTTTTTGAGTTCTGCTTCAAATCCAGTTAAGTTTTCTGGGTTCTGTAAAAGTTCGAATTTTTATCAAAGATTTGGACTTGGTTCTCAAATTGGTATAAATAAAATTCATTATGATCCATTTCTTGGTAGTGTTATTGGTGCAAAGAGATTTTATTATGTTGATAGGTATCGTGTACAACATTTTAAGCCTAGAGGGCCTAAAAGGTGGTTTAGGAATCCAAGAACTGTTTTCATTGTTGTTTTGGTTGGTTCTGGTGCTTTTCTTACTGTTTATTATGGTAACTTAGAAACTGTACCTTATACGAAAAGAAAGCATTTTGTGCTTTTGTCTAAGCAAATGGAGAGAAAGATTGGTGAGACTCAATTTGAGCAAATGAAAGCGGCTTTTAAGGGAAAAATATTGCCTGCATTACACCCTGAAAGTGTTAGGGTACGTTTGATTGCTCAAGATATTATTGAAGCTTTGCAAAGAGGTTTGAAAAGTGAACAAGTATGGAGTGATATGGGGTATGCGTCGGCAGAGAGTGACTTGACACATGAGATAAGTGCTGATGATACTTTGAAGGCTTTGAGTGAGAGAGAAGGGAAAATTGCAGGTAAGTGGCATAAAGAAGATGAACTTCTTGATGATAATTGGATTCAACGAAGCAGAAAAAAAGAGAAAGGTTTGAAGGCAAATGCTTCCCATTTGGATGGATTGAATTGGGAAGTCTTGGTTGTTAAGGAGTCTGTTGTTAATGCTTTTTGTTTGCCAGGGGGAAAGATTGTTGTGTTTACCGGATTGCTTGAGCATTTTAGAACTGATGCAGAGATAGCCACCATTATTGGGCATGAGGTACATCCACTCTGTATACGTGTGTTTTTGACAGTTTAGAATCATAGTCTATGTTGTTTTATATTCACTACAATTTTTAGTATTGGGTTGAAGATGGTTTTTGGGTTTTGTTGGATGCTTTTTTGTTAATTAGGTCGGGCATGCTGTGGCTCGGCATGCAGCTGAAGGAATCACAAAGAATTTGTGGGTTGCCATTTTGCAACTGATACTTTACCAGTTTATCATGCCTGATATTGCAAACACAATGTCGGTTCTGTTTTTGAGGCTACCTTTCTCCCGAAGGTATGCTTCTTTGGTTAACTGTTATTTATATTGTTATTTATTGCATGTACCTTGTTTAGTTTTCTGTAATGTTATGGGTGGACATACGTGCAGGAATATCTCATATAAGCCTAGAAAATGCTCTATGATCATGTAATAATTATATTAATGCATTTTGTTAAGCTTGTCTAATATGTGCTAAACTTATAGCCTGGTCTGCCTAGGCTGGTATGAGAGCACCCTATTTCTGGGAATCAAGCAATTTCAACGTTATTGGTATTGAGTCTGGCAAAATAGCATGTAGTTTAAGCTTGCATAACATCATTGTTGGCTCTTAGTATAAGCAGTTATTCTTAGGTAATATATGATAGAGAACACAGTAGGCATAATTTGATTTTTTTGAAAGAAATTGACCATTTCCTTTTCCCTAGGAGCTTCAGGTCTCAGGATCCATTGGACCATTCTAGTATTGGATTTTTTCATGTGGAACAAAGATCCATGTAGATCAGAATGTCGTATTGGGTGTGCACGAGTGTTGGAGAGAACTGCAAATCAGAAGCCCCAAATTTTCAAAAATTTACTTCCTTTAGCTTTTGGGATTCAGCAGAGGACCAAATGAGTGCAATGACCATCAAGTACTGGTGTCTGAAATTTAATTAGTACTTTGAGACTGTCTTCTGGAGGAATTCACCTTAGATAGTAGACTGGTTGAACTTTCTTGAGTGGCAAGTGGCTCTTCTGCTTTCAGCCTAGTACAGTTTGTGAGATGTATGGATTATAACAGATGTGATAGATTTGATAGTCCCATCTAATTTAGCTGTTCATCGGACTAATCACTGGAAGTTGAATGATGTGTCTCTACTTTTTCCTGACATATCATGCACAAATGGCAACCAACTCCCACATTGCATTCATATAGCTTGAAAAATTACATGGATCTAGTGCAGCCCTAGGTTTGTGTGATCCTGTGAAGATCACACACACATTCTACCCATCTCTTTCCTACCAATGTTAGGGTCCTAGTTGGTGATCCGGATGACAGTCCTTGAGGTTTAGTTCTTGTTGGGAGGTTTTGTTTCCTTGCTTTCAGCGCAATGGATCTTTCTTGCATGTGTCCCTCTCATCTTAGGTACTTCCATCCTCCTCAAAGTTGAAGAACCCAAGGTAGATTATGCCACAGGAGTATAAGTTTTGGAGACTTGAAGCTTAGCTTCACCTTGGTTTGGGCAGCAATTCCGTTTCACCTTATATCTTGGATTTTATCACAGTTAAAAAAAACTGACAAGATCATTAATAAGAGTTAAATCCGATGTCCTGCAAGATCTCACACATTCCAATATCTTTTGTTTCAGGATGGAGATAGAAGCAGATTACATTGGACTATTACTGACGGCTTCTGCCGGATATGATCCTCGCATGGCACCTAGAGTGTATGAGAAATTGGGAAAGCTCACTGGAGACTCAGCACTAAGAGATTATCTGTCTACCCATCCATCTGGAAAGAAGAGAGCTCAATTGCTGGCTCGAGCTCAAGTCATGGAAGAAGCACTTCTTATTTACAGAGACAGAATAGCAGGACGTGGGAGTGAAGGTTTTTTCCTTTAAAGCAGCACCAAACTCCAGTCACTATACACTTGGAAGTTGCAGCTGGCCAAGAAGTTCATAGTTTTTAATTTGCTTCACCCATACCTTACAGCACAACGCCTGGTTGAGCTTCTTTTCATCCGGACCTTTTTCTTGTATTTCTGGTAACTGTAATTACTATCCAAAAGTGATAAGAAGATTTTCACGTTTATTTAAATTTTTTTATTTTCTCTCTTATTTTTTTCTCTCTTTTTGTGTGTCTATCTCTCTCCTTAAAGTGAATTCAAGAAGTCACTAGTTATTCTATATATATTATAAAATTTTCCTGTTGTAGGGTAATAGGATTGGTGTGTAAAAGGAATCTGGATCCCATAACTTTTTTTAAATCTTTACATATGAGGCCAGGCTTGTCGTTTGTGCTATAGGTTAAAAGCTGGCAGATAAGTCCAGAGCCAATTGGACGATCATTTCCATTATTACTGTGGCAATTATTGGACGTGAAAGATAAATTATCCATTGATAAGTACGTATAACATAAAAAAATAAAAATAAGAACACTTGTATTTTGTTTGAGCTTCATTTAATTTATCAAGTAAAACAAGAACATCATTCTCAGTAGATGATCCCAATGAAACTCTCTTCTGATGGCAAAAACAAACCTAATAGTAAAACACATAATAATTATTCAGAAGCAAGGAATACTTGATATTTCTGGTTTGAAGTTCTCTTTTGGATTCTCCATTAAACATCTTTCAGGATGAGTGCCATCCCTTTTGCTTCAGTCATGCTCTTTCTTCTTGTAGGATCTTGCGTCGCTCCCTCGATTGTCTTAGGCCTATTAGGAATACTGTTATGTTTTGTGATCATCTTTGCGTTAAAGTATCTTCTATTTTACGTGAAGGAGTCGATTTTGGAGGATCACAAGCCTCCAATTGCTGGTCCAATGCTATTTTACCTTGTACATTTCAAAAGACTTTTTGATTATCAGACATCTCTTGCTAAGAAACAAAGCATTTTTCGTATGATTACGCCTTCACACAGCGAAATTTACACAGTGGATTCAGTTAATGTTGAATATATACTGAAAACCAACTTCTCCAATTATGGCAAGGTATTAGGCACTTGTTATTCTCTTAGACTTCATCGGTTTGGTGTGAAAATTAATAGTGCAATTTGGCTGTCATGAAATTGCAGGGGGCCAAAAATTTTGGGATAATGAGAGATCTATTTGGTGATGGAATTTTTGCAGTGGATGGAGATAAATGGCGTCATCAGAGGAAGCTTGCAAGCTATGAATTCTCAACAAGAGTTCTGAGAGATTTCAGTAGTGCTGTTTTTCGGGCTAATGCTTCAAAATTAGTTTCAAAGATTGCTGTCGCAGCAACAGCTTTGAAAAGCATGGACTTGCAGGTATCTTATCATGCTATAAATGAAAATTTTCATATATTATTGTGGTTTGTCACAGGGCCAAAGAAGAATGATTAAAAAAAAGGATTTCAAACATCTGCATCGAAGTTTTACTTGAATTTTATTGACAATTTTCAGTTTGATATACTTGAGAAATTATGGCTGGAGGAAGAAATTCCATTTTGGAGATAGACTGAGAGACTCAGTAAGAGCTACATGTTTAAGAACTTTCTGTCTTCTCCTACAAAACAAGAGGGAAAAAAATATATGAACAGGGTGTTAGAAGTTGTTGAAGTTAAATCCAAGAACCATATAGAGTAAATCAGTTTATGAATTGTAACTTACACTATTTACTGAATGTGTGCAGGATATGCTGTTGAAATCGACCTTAGACTCAATATTTAAAGTGGGATTTGGGTTTGAGCTGAATGCTTTGTCTGGCTCGGATGAATTTGGAAGCAGATTCACCAAAGCCTTTGATGATTCTAATAGTTTCATTTTCTGGAGATATGTCGATCTGTTATGGGAAGTCAAAAGGTTCCTTAACGTAGGTTCAGAAGCCTCTCTTAAGCAAAATATCAAAGTCATTGATGATTTCATTTTTGAACTGATTCGGTGGAAGAGAGAGCAGATAAAAAATAGAAAGCTCGAAGTAAGTACATTTTATTTGATATTGATGCATCGTTAAAGTTTGCAGCAGTATGTGTTTGCTGATATTTATTTGGTGAGCAGGGAGGGAAGGAAGATATTTTATCAAGGTTCTTGTTGGAGAGCGAGAAGGATCCGCAGAACATGACGGATCGATATTTAAGAGACATAACTCTGAATTTCATCATAGCTGGAAAAGACACATCCGCAAACACACTCGCATGGTTTTTCTACTTGCTCTGTAAACATCCTGTAGTTCAGGAAAAGGTTGTGCAGGAAGTGAGAGAAGCAGCTGGAACTGAGGAAACAATATCTGCTGATGAATTTTCAAAATTGATGACCGAAGAAGCCCTGGAGAAGATGCAGTATCTTCATGCATCTCTAACAGAAACTCTCAGACTCTATCCTGCAGTTCCTCTGGTAATTGAAAAATAGACACATGCGTCGCATTTGATGTCAATTTTTCTTTAGCTTTCTCACGGATGAACACTAAACAAGAATCTATAAATGCTATTATATTCTCTCTAGACTCACCAAATTTCTGAAATGTTTATTGTTCTTCGGAGATTTGTGTCTCTGCGCGATAAATTTCATATCTGATCGCTTTTATTTATCAATTTGAGCACCAGCTTGTCAAGCGCTCTTCCGTGCTTCATGATGCATCCAAAACCATTGTTTTTCTTTATTCTCGGAAGCACCAAATGACACAGTACACTACTCAAGTTTCACTAAGAATAACTGGCTTCAAGATTATCATTCTGGATTTATATTCTACTGCTGTAACATTTGTTTGGTTTTCTTAAAGGAGTAATAATGATTTTCTTAATTCATGATAGCTTGTTTGTCCAAATGCAGGATGGTAAGACTGCAGAAGAGGATGACATTCTCCCTGACGGCTTCAAAGTGAAAAAAGGAGATGGCATAACCTACATGGCCTATGCGATGGGAAGGATGACGAACATTTGGGGGGACGATGCAGAGGAATTTCGTCCAGAACGATGGCTTCACGAGGGTGTCTTTCGATCAGAGTCTCCCTTCAAATTTACTGCGTTTCATGTCAGTAACATTAACCCTCTCAGTTTACTTATTCACAGTTTCTTGATATCTCTGATTTGCTTTATGTTTCTTTATCCATTACTAGGCTGGCCCTCGCATTTGCCTCGGGAGGGAGTTTGCTTATAGGCAGATGAAGATATTGGCTGCCGTTCTGCTTTACTTCTTCAGGTTCAAACTTGTGGATGAGAGCAAGGAAGCTACATATCGAACAATGTTTACACTTCACCTTGATAAAGGGCTGCATTTATATGCATTTCCCAGGCTCTAAAACTCAAGTGTGAAGCCCGTGCCAATGGCATCTATGCCTACCAATTCAAAACTTCTTGAAACCCCTTAATTTAAAAAATGAAATAATTAGTCCTTACTGTTTCGAATATTAATTATTTAGTCTTTTATCGTTTTTTTTTCTAATTGATTTTGTTTTTTTATTTTTGAGATGAAAAAAAAATAGATATCATGGAAAGATTGATGGAAAATATGGAATAAAGTAATACTAAATTAAGCATGATCAATAGTAGTTGAGGAATTAAACAATTAAATTTTTTAAAAAAATGGATTACTTAAATCATTTATGAAAAAGAGGGACTAATTTATAATTTACTTGCTTTACCGGTGGAGGGATTTTTTTATTTTCTTAATATGGGATTGTTACTGTTTTAGTGAATAAGTGATCGAACTGAACTCAACTGTTAAGTTTGGTTTTGTTTCGTAGTTTAGCAAGTACACACGTGGGACTATTTGGTCCCTGTACTCTTGACAATTTTCTAATGTGACATGTGTACTAGTTTTTTCGTATTTGTTTAGCCCCTCTATTCGAGGAAATTTCTTCATTGTTGTCCATCTATCTAATTTCCTTTAATTATTAACATGTAAGCTGACATATGCAAGATACGTGTCTATTTTTTTCTAGAATTAACACTTGATTAAATAAAATTAGATGGAAAGTTCCTATTAAAAAGTTTGAATTTAGAAAACTATCTTTAAATTTAAGGATAACTAAAAAAATACAATCATTATAGCGTTGGTACCATTAATAAATATAGACAACAATAGATGAGATCTAACGAAAATTAATGGTGTTTCTGATTTTTTTTTTTTTAATGCGATTCGTTTATGTCAAATCACATGTCACCAATAGTCGGAATTCAGGACCAATTTAAGAAATTCCGTTAGCTGGAGGGACCAAATACTAAAAAAATGTAGTATGTGGTCCTTATTATAAAATATGAAGAGCAGAAGCACCAAATAATCTGAAAAGAAACCAAACAGTTGAGTTCAGTTTCATCCCTTATGAATTCCTGCTTCCTAGTACAGTAGTCTCTAACAGTCGACAATTTTCCATGTCTCCGCCGCCAAAACCACCAACCATTCATCCTTCTCGCTAAATAACAATTTTCCGTCTCTCCAAGAAGCAAGCAAGCTCAGCCCACAATTTTGTCTTCTTCACCGTTCGGTCCAAAATCAAACCTTCCAAAGGATCCGCTTTCTGATCTACAAAGAGAAGAGCTGCGGGTATGCATTTAATCTTTTCTTGTTCATTAAAAATTGGGAAATTTTTAAGCTTGTTGCTCGTCTATGATTGCCAACACATGTTAGTTCTCTAATTTCAATTCATTTTGTGTCTTTCCATTTTCCATTTTCATATATATTTGAGTTTATGTGTGGTGAGGTTGAGGGAACTTTTAAGGGCAGCTGCTTGATTGATTCAATGGCTGGCCATGTTGCATAGACCTCCATTGAAGGCTATTTAGATTGGTTGTTGAGAAAACAGAAAAGTTGAGGAGTAAAGGAAAGCTTTTTGAGTTGCCTATTCTGCTTCTGATGGCTCGAGAAAAGGTTATGTCTTCATCGTTCTTTCAAAAATTGTACCCATCCTTCTTCCATGTCTCCATTGCTATTGCTTGATGTCTTTGAGAGGGCTGGGGAATTCATAGATACATGTCTTGGACTAGAAGGAATTCGTTTGTGTTCCTCTTGATACCTTTTTCAATTCTTTGTTTTTCTTTTTTTCTGTCTTGCCTTTGGGGAAATCACATAACTCTTAGATGAACCAAGATATACAACTTTTAGATGAAATTGGACCAATAACCTTACAGATTTTGGAAAGTACATTTCTAACATTTGAACCTCATAAGCCATTCTAGGAAGAGACAGTGCCTTCTTCAACCTTTTTGAAACCATCCTCAGCCTTGTTCTCTCCCGATGCCTTTGCTGCGTCATAGGAGGCATGTAATCCGAATAGAAAGTAGTATATCAACAAAACTCCTGTCCAGGCAGCAAATCTTTCAAATGATTTCTTATCTATTGATCCCAAAAGAAAAATGTTGATGAGAATTGAAGCAGATGGTATCCATGGCACCAACGGAACACCCCATAATTTTGGATCCCTTGCTTGTGGAACAAAAACCTTGAGTGCTAAAGTAGCCAGGAACCATATCGGTATTGTGATCACATACCCAATCCAACTATCTTGATCCGCTGTACCCCAAATAACAGCTGTTGCAATTGAAGAACCAAGAATGCCTGCAATGCACAGAACGAGCTTGATGTGATTTACTGGTGTTGTGACGCCACTAACATAGTAGCGGCGCACAAGAAGAGCCACAGCAACAAGCATGAAGATGAACAATGTGGAGATGGAAAGAAGGTTGGACAGAATATCAAGCTTGGTGAAAAAGGCAATGATAGCAGTTGCAGCAAGCATGACAATAGTGGCATTCACCGGGGTCCCGGTCTTTGCATTAACCTGAGCTAACCATGGCGGCATCATGTGAGTCCTTGCAATATGTGTGAGATACCGTGCCTGCCCTACAGCAGAAACTAGCAAAACTGTCGTCATGCCTTTCAATGCACCGGCAGCAACAATGTACTTAGCCCAATCCCAACCTACAGTCTCAAATGCTACTGAAAATGGGGCATCCGGATCAACCTTCCCGTATGGTACCATTAGGCACAATGTTACTGCTAGCAGACAATATGCCAGTGTAGTTATTGCCATTGAGCCGACGAGACCGATCGGGATATCTCGAGCAGGGTTCTTGGTTTCTTCTGCCATGGTCGAAACAGCATCAAATCCAACATAAGCAAAGAAAAGCACGGCTGAAGCCACAAAAATACCATGGGCACCATGGGGAGCAAAATCAGAGTAATTTTTCGTGTCTGCTTTAGCAAGACCAGCAACAATGATGAAGAGGATCACTACAACATGAATGATGGACGCAACGTAATTGAAGCGCGATGAGCCCTTGGTACTGAGGACTGCAAGGACACAGATTACAGCAGCTACAACAACAGCAATGGGATCAAGGTGGCCATAGTCATCAGGAAGGCTATGGGCTATGATACGGAAGTCATCTGGTTTGTGGTTGCAAAGAGTGGCAAAGTAGGATGTCCATGCCCTAGCAACAGCAGCACCACCAATAACATACTCAAGCAAGATGTTGCCAGCAGCAATAAAGGCCATGAAGTCACCTAGCTCCACTCTCAGATAAGCAAATGAACCACCTGAAAGGAAAACATCGCTCACTAGAAATTTCAGTGTCTTCGTTATTGCACAATCCTTGGGACGGCCATGTTGGATGTTTTGTATTGTACAAACTAACAAGATCGTTTTCAAATTCCACGTTTGAAATTAGGCTAATTGGTTATAAAGTAGTCTGAATTTTTTGTTAATAGAAAAAAAAATTCTAATTTTTTGCACAAATTAACTTTTTCAACCCAAGGTTTTTTTTGTCTTGTTGATCAATTTCAAATCACATTGGACGCATGTAAAAGATATATGAACTCATAAAATAAGAATATGCGTCTTGTATTTATAGTTTTGAGAATATGTATCGTTGTTTTAATAACTCTACGTGTTTCTCATGTTTTTTGAAATAGAAAAATTTAATTGCAAATTAAGAGAAGATTCAGGACCAAATTAAAATTTAAAAAAAAAATTAGAAATTTTTTTGTTATTGATCAATAGTTGAGATAAAAAAAATAAAAAAGAGTCAAACTTGATATCCTGTTGAAATGTCAACAAATGAACAGTGGTTGTATTCTAGCAAGTCAATACTTTTCATTTACAAATACATCATCGATAAGACAAGGAATGCAAGTTGAGGGAGAGGTGGACCCCAAGCTGGACCTTCGAAGTAGAATATGTCAAGTAAAGGTCAAACGTGGTTGTATCTCATAGTAGAAAAATAGATTAATTATTCTTTCTTATTTTAAAAATTTATTATTTAATTTTTTTATCATATTTAATTTAATATTATTTTATTTCAAAAATTATGTTTTTATCAAATTTTTCATAATATCTGTTTATATTTTCCCTTCGTTGTTTTATAAAACAAAAAATAGATAAAAAAATTAAATAATTAATTTTAAAAAAATTTATTTATTTATTTTTCAAAACTATGAAAACTAATTTATAATGTACTCATCATAGAGTGATCGCAATCCTCTCTTTCACACTTTTCTTTTCTTTTTCTTTTTTTTTTTCCTTTTCTTTAAAGAAATCTCTCTTTCACACTTTGATCTAAATATATCCAAGTTTAGTAGTTAACTTATAATATATTATTTTCTAATCAAAATATCTCCTAGTGTAATATAATAATAAGTAAAAGAGTGAGCTTTTGGTTTAGCCACAGCTAAGGTCAACCATTCTAAAAAATAGTATATGGATGCAATTCCAGTTGATGCAATCTTCTAGTAAATATGATACCATAATACCCTAATTTATTACTTGATTTCAGCAGCCATAATGGGCAAAGCGTGAGACAAACATGCCCACAAAAGCAGACTAGGCAGGCCTAAATATGCACATCCGGTGATGCTTTTTTCTGGGTTTGGAACCACCGTCTGCCGGAATTTGTTGCCGTTCTAACCAGTAATAATACTGGAGTTTTTTCTTTCTTTCTTTTCTGATGCCTGAGCCTCTCTATTTCTATTCCACTTGCACCCAGAAAGGAATATATGCAGAAACACAGATGTAAGGAGAAGAAAAAAGACATACCGGCGACAGGAATTTCGACAGCAAATTCGGTGTAACAGAAAACAGAAAGCATGGCGGAAACACCAGAAACAACGTAGGACAAGACAACTGCAGGGCCAGCATGTTCTTTGGCTTCAAGTCCTGTGAGGACGAAAATACCAGCACCAATTACAGCACCAATGCCAAACCATATGAGATCCCACCAAGTAAGGTTTTTCTTCATCTCATGCTCGCTTCTGGCCTTGATCTCATGGAGTTCTGTCGAGTCCATGGATCTTGTCAGCAGTCTCTCTTTGAACCTCATGGGAGTTTCTTTAAGTGCCTGAAGATAATTTCCAATGCTTTGAAATGATTCCTCCGGCAAGAAATCGTTCTTCGTGCAGCTGCACCCACATCCCCTCCTCCTCCTCATCCCTTCTTCTCCGCTTTGTTGATCAAGATTTCCACCTCCCATTATTGTTACTGATAAAATGAAATTAAAAAAAAAATCAATTCATCGCCAATAATATTACTATAATCAAGACAAAAAAAATAAATAAAAAAACACAAAGAATTAAAGAGTTACCTGATTAAAATTAATTAAGGGGTGGAGAAGGGAATTATAGAGGAAGCTAACGATTTTTTATTTCTGTCTGGGGTGCAAGGCAATAAGAAGACATATATATAAAAAAGGATTCTAGGACTGGATATGGGAATCACAGCTAATGGGTCGCTGGCAATTTATTTTACTTTTCAAATAAAAAAAGAAAATGGAATTTTGTTTTCTATATAAGGAAAGGACAGGAATCTGAATCACTAAGAAAATAATTAAAATGAATGGAATCTCTGATTAGTCCTGCAATGGAGGAATTAAGAATTAATTAATAAATGAGGGAAGTTTTATCCATTACGAAATGAAGGGCGATATTGACGATATAAGCATTCAAGATCTATGGATGTGGACAACCTGTTTTGAAGTTGTTAGACTTTTCCACCAAAACGTTTGCTCATGTTCACATTGGCTTTGGGATTCGTATTTAATGACATATTAAATTAATAGAAAACGATAAATGACAATAAAAAAAAATATTGAATTAATTATTCTTTAAATATTATAAAATTTTTAAATTAGTATAATTAGTTATTCGTTCAATTTATAAAGGAATGATGCTAATCTTATCGAATATTGTGACCCAATTCACTTATCGCAGCTTTTTTTCCTTTTTTCTTTTTTATTAATGTTTAAGATCATTATTTTATATATTGGAATTGATGAGAAAAAATGACCCAAGCTTTTTCTTTTTTTTCTTTTTTATTAATGTTTAAGATCATTATTTTATATATTGGAATTGATGAGAAAAAAATGATCTTCCCAAATATTTGTATGAAGACATCATATTGAAAATTTTGTTTGTATAATATTACTCATCTCATACATTTTTAATAAAAAAAAATCATAAAAGAGTGATGTTAATCTTATTTAATATTATCAAGGTGGCTTGTTTGTAAAGCATAGCTGAAAGTTTTCTAGTGTCATGTACCTACAAAACAAATCCTTTTAATTAGTTAAATATCCTTCTGACTCTCGATTTACTGGTCAAAACGTGACGAATTGATTTGAAAATTTTTCTTTATACAACCACATGCTAGTTTGTGCATAATTTAAAGGCACAGTAAGAGATGTACAGAGTAGACCCATTTAGAGATCAATCTTGAAAACTGTTCACAGTTTTTTACGTGTAAAATGGCTTGTGGTAAGAGTTGTTGAAGATAAGTGAGTATTGTATTTGTGTGAATACTCTTTCTCTTCCGATGAGATTCCATCGTAGGTGTTCAGAGTTTTTTGTATATTTGAAGGAACATAAATGTCCTCCTTCTCTTCTTAAAGTCAGTAGAGGAACCGACAATTGTTGATGTTTTTCCCTTGTTATATTTCATTATGCAATGTTATTAATGGAGTTGTACTAAGTGATAATCCGATTGTTGTTATCATTGAAGATTTTTTATTTAATATTTTGTTGTGTGTTATATTTTTTTTTTTCTTCTTTTTAGGCCGAAGGGTTCCGAGGTAAGACGACTCTAAAGCCTTGTTTTGAGGGCACCCTTGCCTGCCCCCTCTAAAATGGACTACTCTTTTTGGGTGATTTGTGAATCTTAATTGGGCTTTGATATTTTGATTTTCTTCCCCTAATATTTTGTTTTTGGGTGATAGTAAAAAAAAAACTAAAGAGACTAATTTATAATTTAATAACTAATTAACCAAACAAATAATTAGAAATTATTCCAAATTTTTTAAAAAATTTCAAATAAATCTTGCTGAATGATTTTCATTATAGAACTATTTACGTAATTGTTATTCTTTATGATAAATGACTATTGAAAGTGAAAGATTGATTAAATCTCAAAAAAATAAAAAATAATACAAAAAGTTCAATGAAGTCATAATACAAATTAAAAGTTTAAGAACTTATTTTCAAATACACTAAAATTAAGATGAAATTTGATATTTTTAACCATAGTTAGAAGAAATAACTTTTCCGAACAAACCCTAAAACTATTTGCTAGAAATTTCTAGATTATGAGATTGAATTGCTTTGAGTATTTAAACTGTCTTTCTCTTTGCTTTTTATAAGAAATTCTTTTTACTGCTAGTCTAAAAGAAAAATTAAAAACTCAAAACTATAATAACTTAAATGCTTTAGGTAATTTTGTAGGTTAAACACAAAATAATGAAACGGAGAACAAGTTAAGTCACGTATGGCTAGCATAAAACTGCACCACGTAAAACATATGACAGCACAAAAAGATGTGAAAAGGGACTTATCGTTGCGTGTTCTCCTCTCAAATTCAAGCCACTTACATATCTTTGCGCAAAATATGTTGGAATTGACTATACTTTCAAAACATGTTGGAATTGAGCTAAAGTCATGTATGGTATCAAAATCACGAAAACCGGTGCAGCCATTCATGTCAATTCAAGAATGGAGAAAGAAGAAAAATCGGCTGTTCAAAATTTCAACAATGATCCAATGGATCATCCAATCACAAGTTGTCTTTTCACTTCCGAGGAGCCCTCCTCAAGTTGTCCGTGCTGATAAAAGTCTTTGTCTTTTTATCTCTTTTCATGATGTTGCTATGTACTTTTAAATTTAGTCACGACAAAGGTGACTATATTGATGGGCTTCATGAATTTTTCTTTTTAGATTAATAGGAAATGATAAATAACGAGAAATTAGAGAGTAATCTTGAAAACTGTTTACATTTTTTTTTTTTTTACGTGTAAAATGGCTTGTGTTAAGAGGTTTCGAGGATAAATGAATATTGTATTTATGTAAATATTCTCTCTTCTAGTGAGATCCTATCCTAATGGAAGCCTCTTATATGGTTGAAGGGACATAAATGTCTTTTTATTCTTAAAGTTAGTAAAGGAATTGATAGTTGTTGATGTTTTGCTCTTATTATATTTGATTTTACAATGGCATTAGTGTGATTGTATTAGTGTGATTGTAACGAGTGATGATTCGATTATTGTCATCATTGAAGATTTTTTATCTAATATTTTATTTTTTTATGATAATAAAAGTTTTTTAGGTCGAAGCATTTCGAGATAAGATGACTATAAAGCCTTTAATATTTTGTTTTTTTGATGATAGCAAAAGATTATTATATCTTTTTTTTAGACCAAAGCATTTCGAGATAAGACTACTGTAACGCCTTGTTTTGAGGGCAATCGTTGTTTGATTTGAGAAATTTTATAATATTTATGGAGTAATTAGTGTAAGTTACTAGATAAAGAGAAATAGATATAAAAATGAGATAAAAAAATTAAAATAAAAAAATTTAAGTTAACCTAAAAATCTTTTTATTACTTTCGATAGTCCGAATGTGATTTTTTTTTCTTCTTAAAAGTAAACCGATAAAATAATTACTTGTATATATATTAATTATCTTTTGAGTATTATAAAATTTTTCTATCTAGCTCGTGCTAAAATGGACTACTCTTTTTCGGGGTGATTTGTGAATCTTAATTGGGCCTAATGGGTTTTTGGGAGTTCGAGGCCCATGGTTCCTTTTTTTTTTATAGGCCGTACTGAAAAATGACTCTGTTATCAAACTTACCACGTGTAGAATCTTATACATTAAATGGATGGATTCGTTAATGATTCTAATTAATTAGGTAGAATTTTTTTTCATAAGATTAGTATTGATGATCATTAATACAGTGTACAAATAATATTATAAGTAACGCTAATGTTATATCAATCATTGAATTATGGAATTCACTATTAAAATCCACTACCCATTTAATGGTTAATATATATATATATATCAGTAGGAATTCCGAAGGGTTTAGCCAGTTTTTATTAGACAGTTTTTTCAGGAGAGAATTAGGCAATCAAGGAATTAGTTCCAGTTGGCTGTAGCATGATTGATGTCGACGTTGTTGTTTATGAGTTGTCATTAACGGCTTAAATTAGTTCGAATAAATTATAAACTAGTCCCTCTAATTGTGCAAGAAGAGCTAAATAATCTATTTTTAAAAAAAAAACTAATTAATCTTTTAATTAGTATTGATTGCGGTTAATTTAATATTAGTTTATTTTAAAAAATGTTTTTAAAATAATTTTTTTAAAAATGTTTTTAATTAGAATCTAACTCAGTCCATCTGCAGTTGAACCAGGTATACAGATCTCCGGGAATGAAACCTAAGTGTGACAAAGAAAAAACGAAGAAGGGAGGAGCAATTATCCTTTTGAACTCCAGTATCCACCAGTCGGATTGTGTAGTTGTTGTAGTTGATTGCCTGCACATAATATTTTCCTGAATACAAATACAATACTGTAGAAGAAGTATTTCTCTCGCAGTACAAGACATAATTGTAGTCCTCACAGGTTTCTGGATCACTCTCTAGTCTGAAAAGGATAGCTGATATTCTGGATATTGCCACATGATGAGAGTTGCAATTTTTTTTTTTTTTGATAATCCAGGGTATTCGGGACAGCTTGTGCGCATCTTGATTAATTCCTAAACTCATTAAACACCCTGTAAGCCCAGGTAGGTAAGTAAGACACCGCGGGATTGACGGACATGCTTAGAGAGATTCAAACTCGAGTATCATCGATAAACGACTCTCAAATTGGACTGTGACCTCAAGCGCTGAGAGTTGCAATTATTAGTATCCTTGGACTTGGATGTTTGGATGGACCCTTCCTCTATACATAGGGATCGACATTGTTAGTCTTCAAAAAATTCAACCTGTTAAGTTCTTTGGGTCTACACTACTGTTCTTCTATTAGTATAGAAAAACTTCTCTTTTAATGCTATATTTCTGCAATAAACTCTATGTTAGTACTAAAAGAATATTATCAATCTCAGTAACGCCAATGTTCAAATCCCAGGTGTTCTTCTAAAAGAGAAATCGAGGCTATAGCAAGGACGATAATTAAAAATATAAAGATATATAAGGAAAAAAGA